TAAGATGCATGTATAAAATTTATGCAGTGCATGGATAATTGTGCGTGCATCTATTAATCATTTTGAGTCTAATATCATCCCATACTTTTGCACTAAGGTGAGAGATTTTCCCCCAAGGTGACATTCCCCTGAGGCCCAGCACTTTATACAGGACCTGTGATAAGACATGCCAGGCCTTTAGAGAAGAGTGAGAGGAAGAATGAGAGAGAAAGAGTTGGGGGTGGCAGTAATCCTCCCAGTGAAATAGGGCTTCTCTCGTTTCCTAGTTCCTCAGGGCGTTGATCATGTCCTCGTGTCTCACATACGCACACATGCACACCCGGCCCAGTAAATAGCAGCCTGCACCCCTCAAATGGAATTGTAAGGGTGGAGTTATAGAAGAAGGGGAAAGAAACCAGGGTAGAGAGGCAGCATCCAAAGTAATTTACTCCACAGATTAAAGATAACAGCATTGAGTCAATAACCACTGATCTCATTTGGAGATACACTAGGCCAGCCAGGCGCGTGGCACAGCCGTTCTGCTCAGTCTATTACCATAGCTGTTGTGGCTGCCTCTCCAGACACACCGTTCTCCCGTGAGTGTGAAATCACAGCAGCCTATTGTAAAACATAGATTAGATGCATTGCTTTTTTCCACCTTTGTAGGGAGAAATCTACAGCGCAACATAATATTTCACCTAAACGAATGTGTCCTTGCTCCCCTGTGCAGCATGAGGCTCACTTGGCTCTAAGAAAATGGCAAAACAAAAAAGTTGTTTAGGGAGCTGTACAACGGCAAAAACTGGGCAGGTGCCAGAGCAAACAGGAGTTTAAAGACATAGTTCAGCCAAAAATGAAAATTCTGACATCATTTACTCTCCCTCAAGTTGTTCCAAACCTGTTTGAATTTATTTTTTGTTTGACACAAAAGACGATATTTTGAAGAATGTTGTTAGCCAAAGAGTTGCCGGTAGCCATTGACTTCCATAGTAGGAAAAAATGCTATGGAAGTCAATGGCTACCGACAATTGTTTGGTTACCACCATTCTTCAAAATATCTTCTTTTGTGTTCAGCAGAAATAAAGAAACTTATACAGGTTTGGAACAACTTGAGGGTGATTAAAGGGGTCATATGATGCGATTTCAAGTTTTCCTTTCTCTTTGAAGTGTTACAAGCTCTTGGTGCATAAAGAAGATCTGTAAAGTTGCAAAGACTTAAGTCTCAAATCCAAAGAGATATTCTTTATAAAAGTTAAGAGTCAACCACGCCTACCTAAAACGGCTCATTCTAACAAGCCCCCACATGTCTACGTCACTATGTGGAAATATTAGCATAATGCCGCCCAAATGTGCACGCAAAGAAAGAAGGCGTGGTTTCAGGAACAGCAGTAATGTTGATGCAGCCATGTCAGGGAGACGCTGTGTGATTCAGTGCGAAAGCAAAAGCACTTTATTTGGCCTTCCAGAAGTAGATGCAATTAGGAATCATTGGTTAAGATTTATTTACAAATAATGATTTTTAAAATAGCATCATATGACCCCTTTAAATTATGACAGAATTGTTTTTTTTGAGTGAACCATCCATTTAAGTAGCATGTATCAAACTAAATTTTATTTGGGAGAAGTGTTTAAAATGGACTTTGAAAAGGCTTTGTTTTCTTGAAACATTCAAACTATTGTTTACCAGAAACCAAAATGCAAAAGCTAAAATCTCCTCTGTGGGAATGGAATACAAGTGTTGCTCAAAAGATTTAATATGCACTGTAAATAACATTTTGATTTTATTTTCTCTATTCAAGCTCATTTTTCTTTACATTTTTTTGATGTCTGACTTTGAACAATGTGTTGTTGGTGTGTATCAATTTGAAAATGAAAAACAAGACAGGTGCGACATGAAAACATTTCCACTGTGTGTTAAACATACAAAGTACAAAGTCCTTTCTTTTGTAAACTTATTATACACCCTTAATAATATTATGTGGTGACATTTTTATATAATAGAATATAATAGGCTTTAAATCAAAATTGTTTATACCTTTTCTGAGGAGAGGAGAAAGCATATTATGTCCAGATGTGAGTCAATAACTCTGTGCTGTGTGTTGTTGAGCTATTTAAATTGATGTCCTTTTTCCATACATCGGGAAGATATTTACGCTGCCCTCTGACGTCAGTTTCATTTATGTGGGAGACACAATTTTAATTGACTTAGTTGCATTCGCATTTTCGGAAGCAGTTTTACCTAGAGTGGTGATTTTTGAGCCTTTTTGAAATAAAATATGCATTGTGTTTGGTGCTTCCAGCCACACATTAAGTTAGTCCTAAAACACGTTTAGTTTGACCGTATAAACCATGCTTCCTCTTGTTAAATATCTATGCAGAATTATAAATGAATCTGATTGAGTTAATTCATGCAAAAGACTACCATATTCTTGACTAAGGCATTTCCATCTCTATTTCAGACAATTAAACTAATCAAGCAACTATATTAGGACTCAATCACCCATTTATTTAATTCCAGCATTTAGGCAGAGAGAGAAAACACTGTGCCGAGCATGACATGACTGCTGAGGAGACAGTTTGCAGTCATCTAAACGAATGTGTGAGCTTGCAGATTGACAAGATGGAAGTCTCTGTCTTGCATGGACGCCGCAGTGGGCCATTAAAAGATTGCCTGTTTAATTAGCTCTGTTAATGCAGTGATTTGTAAGATGCCACCCTGGGCCAGGGGCCAGTCCACATAGCAGCAGATTTTCATCTCTCTCAATTTGATGGCACAAATGTTCATTTACTGAGACGTCTGTTTTAGGCTGCAAACAGAATGGAGTATAAGCTAAAAAAAAAAGTATTTTGTTTTGCATTTATCTATTCATTTATTTATTTATTGAAATGTTACATGGAAGTCAATAATGTAATATAATTGGTTATTTTACGTGCTTAATGCAACTGCTTAACTAGCATAGAATTATGTCAATAATAGACTCAAACTGGGTCACACCGGACAGTAATGCAATTTAATATTATATCTGCTGTTACCTCATTAACTTTCTGTCATTTAAAATTGTGTCTATTCCATGAGCTGTCTCATTGTGCAATTTTCTTCTGTCGGGATTTTTTTTAAATGTTTTAAAAAAAAAGAAACAACTGTACTCTTTGTACATAATACTATATATAAATATATGTGAGCACATATCGTAGTCTTCTTTTATATGTATAATCTGTAGTATTAAATGTGTACTTGCTGTCCATTTCATGTAGGCTTACACTGTGAAATTTTCATCTTATATGAAAATCGCCTCATCTGTTAAAATCCAACTGATACATTCTGCTCTCGCATAGCCATTTGTTTTTGGACTTCAAGATTCAGTAGTCAAAGCTATGTACATAAAAAAAGTAATACTTAGCCATTTTTTGTGTCTAAATAAAAGGAAAATTATAACTCTGTTTAGTCTTTTCTGTTTTGCTAGACTTTATGAATATGGATGTACATTTAGTAATATTTATTCTTTAATTTTAATGTTATATATTTTAAATGTTTTTAATTATTTATATATATATAGTATAAAATATACTTATTTTATTGTCTGTATTTTATTTTATTGTCTGCTGTAGCTGTCAGTTTTGTCACTTAAATAGTAGATAGCACTTGGATGTTGAAAAGAAGACTTAGCATGTATCATGTTACAAGTGTCTTTGGCTTCCATCGACATGGCTGCCCACCAACAGTTTTACATCTCCCTCAGTCGATTTTTGTTCATGTTTGTTAAGCAAAAACTTGGAGCCTCCCATGTCTGTTCCAGAGATATTACACCCTGAGAACAGAGGCCCATCACTGGGCATGATCAGTATGCCGGAGCACATCTGTGTGCTCCTCCAGGGATGGGTGAAGAACTATAAAGTCATCTTAAAATTAAAGCCAGCCCGCTCCCTCTTCTGAGGCTCCTCCACGCGGCACCACATCTCCCTGAATTAGAGAGCTTCTGTCAGGATGAGAGCCCCCAGGACACCCTGGAATCTCCTCCTCCTCCTCCTCCTCTCTTTCTGCTTTTCTCTTCCTGTCTGGTGGACGTCTTTTCAGCTCAGTGTCGAACATCCTCCTCAGACTACAACGATATCCCCGAGCCTCTGATCAATCCAGTTCACTCATTATGCTAAAAATTTAGCAGAAGCTCTCCCTGCTGAGCCCTATTTTCACTTCAGTTACTCTAATCCGGGATTTGGGGGATAATTCCACAATGTGTGTTTAGCGTTACACCCAAGGATTGTTTCTGATATTGAGCCGGTGCATGGAAGATAATGTAATCAGAATATATTTTCCTTCTACATGATTTGCATTTTTATTGCGTAATTAGTTTCTTTTAGATCATGCAAGTCCAAAAGTCTGAGATCACATTGAAGATCTGGGATTCAGAATCTAATTAAGTTTAGTTAAGTAACTAACTAAGTTTAAGGATTTAGAAGAAGAAAAAAAAAGTAAAACAAACATTTATGATTAAATTGTAAATTATGATGTAAAATCAATAATAGTTCCGATTCTGCACTATTTATTGTGACACTGATCATGTGACCTCTGCACATATATAGGAATTTTTTCCTTCAAAATATGCTTATAGAATCATTTGTAATGTAATGTAATGAAATACTGTATGTATGTATATATATATATATATATATATAATTATTATTATATTTATTAGAAATTTTCTGTTGAATTTTTCCTAATCGTTATGCTAATAATATAATTTGAATTTGAACATTTGTAATGGAAAATTAAAAATAAATCATTTTTATTATTATTAAATGTTGTTATTAGTATTATTATTATTAGTAACATTGTTTCATATGAAGCATTCATGTTGAATAGAAATGTATTAAATTATTAAAATGCAAATAGAAGCATTTTTACTAAAGGCCTCAGACTTTTGGACCCCACTGTATGTACATGTTAAAGACAGTCTACATGCACCTCAACAGCATACAGTGCAAATTAACTCATGTTTTCTCTATTTCTTTTGCATTTCTAGTAAATATAAAGAAAGAAGACAATGGAGAAGAGCATCAGCTAAAAAGGAACAAAGAGGACAAAGGATGAAAAGTGTCAATGAAAAAAAAACATACGAAAAGAAGTTAAGAGGAAATCCTTACACCGAGGCTGTCAGGAGAAGGCATTATATATCTCTGTGGGGATGTGAGACTGACGCAGTCAAGCTGTGGATGAAAAGAGGGGCTTAGCTTTCACCTGGGACAGCCTTTCGGGGTTGAGGAGAAGAGGAGAGGTCGTCATAAAACTTTTTATTTTTCTAAACTTTTTTAAGTTTATGGTTTCAAAAAGATAAAAAAGATGAGTGTATATATCTATATAGCGATATATATGTATGTATAAATATGTAAAAAAAAAAAAAAGAAGCGAAGAAAAAAAATAGTACAAAACTAGCAACAGAGTGAAGAATTAGTGCTGTAGGAGGGGGGATGGGGGGTGTATATGTTGGTCCTTCACACCCCCCACCCCCCTCCCACCGCAGACCTCCTTGTCCAGCCTGTGTTAGGAGGGTCAACGGGGCCGGACAGAGAGGCTAAAGACCCACCAGACACGATTCCATGTGGCCCCTCTTCATGCAATGCCCTTGAATATATGGCACAGCTGGGTCTTCCATCAGTAGGTTTATGTCATGGGTTGAACTGCATTGCTTCCTTGGGGAAAGAGGCCTTTAGTCGCTAACATAGGGTGCTGTCATTCATCCCATTTAGATGTAAGCAGACAACCTCGCATGGGACTCCAAATCTTACAGTACATCAGGTTGCTATATTCAGGTGTCGCATGGAACGGGGCAAGAGAAGACACTGTAAATAAACCACCAGAGCCCAGTCGGTCTGAAGTAGGGAATGCGCTGTCATCCTGCTGTTGTTTGTAGCACAATACGAAATGGCCCGTTGGCAGGTTTTACTGGGATGTGTGCGTGTGTGTGCGTGCCTTCTTGTGTGCGAGTAGTTACGGGCGGAAGGGGGCTTTATAGAGTCGTGTTGGGTCGCGGCGGCCCCAGAGCCCAGGGCTACCAAAAAGCATTTCATTGTAGTGTTGTGGAGGTGGCTGTGCTGTGTAGTAAACACTTTTGTATGTGGTGTCATGAGGCTACAAATTAAGAAAATTGGAGCTGTCTTATCTGTATTGTCATGGGAGTTTCACTATCCATCTTGAAAATGGGTTCCTGCCCACTGCAAGGTGGAAAACGACGTGCCAGTTTAGTCATATGGTTGCGAGCAAAGTTTTATTAAAAATCGATTACCTTTATACTTCTAATGAGCTCCATTTCAGTGACACATCCTTATATATTTAAACGTTGTACTAATTACATGCTGCTCAGCGTGGTCAAACGTCGATTGTAGCCATTTACTAATGTTGTATTATTGTATTACCAGTATGAAAAACATTTATATATGGATATATCTATTTGTGACTTTGCGACCCTTCAAAAAGGATTGTACCTTTTTTTTTGTTTGTTTCTCGATGGTGGTCCAGGTTTATTTTCGGCGGCGATTTATGCAAGTACTGAGAGATTTTCACTTGTGTGGCGTTGTTTCTGTTCATCTGTATCTTTGGTTCAGCTATTGAATGTAATTCAACTTTTTATGTACATGTCTTTGTTTTTTAAGCAGTACTTTGTAAATGTGGACATGGTAAACCAAGTCTTCGTTCTGAAGTATGGTCCAGCTGACACCTCTCTTTTATAACAGGAGCACTCCAGCTGGCCGACGGACATTATCATGACCCTGCAGGACATTGGCAGAAAAGACATAAAACGATTGGATGAGACAGAGCAGAATTATGCTCTTTGGTTTTTATCTACATCCACTTTCCTTAGTTTTTTTTTCCTCTTTATGCAAATGGTGAACAGTTGACCCACATTCAAAAGAGGTGTCACTCTATAATCGATGATGAACAGCGGTATGTTGGGAAAGAAATGCACTGTAAAAAAAAATGTTGCTGAGTTGCCTAAAATGTGCTTCATTTGTTAACATCTAAATTTACTGGTTTAATTCAGGTCAACATTTTCATATTTAACAGAACTGAATCAACCTGACTACATTAGGTTACTCCAATGAAAGCAAGTGGGTCAAATCAGGAGGAAATGCGTCTATGAAATAACAACTGCACGTTTTCCTGCTTTTTACAGTGTTTACAGTTTACAGTTTTACAGTATTTTGGCTCAGTGAGAAGGAATGGTACATTTAATAGATAGCCCACCTCTACAGACAGCATTCCCAAGCTTTGCAAAATCATGCGCTTCCTCGGACTCAGGTGTTACATGACAGAACTGATGTGTTCCCTTCCATAGGTAATGATGTTACTCTTCCTTGCTGCATTTTTCCTCTCAGAACAAAACTTTATTTTCTACAAAGCTGGTGTCTCCTATCTCAGCGACTGTACTACTTTATGACCCGAAGGATCGTGGAAAACAGCTCGCTGGGTCAGATAGCGACGGGAACTTCGGCGAAGACGTGTTGTTTCAGGGACTCTAAAAACCAAGTGACGGATTCTGCTCTGGAAGAGATTGTGACTGAAAACCTAACAAAAAGATGTCAATTCTACAGAGATCTGAGACCTCTGGGTTTATTTCTTTGCTTTAGTCCATATGAGACATTACTTGTTTACAAGTCCTGGTTTTTTCGACCCTGCTGTGAGGTATATGTCAGCTTTTGCACTGTATTCTTTGGCTTGTTGTCTTCCCTCTACTCTGTTTCCTCTCAAACAGCCCATTAACCTGAGCACCAAAGTCATTCGCCGTCTTCCTCGACCCAAAGCAGAGAACCAATGCAAACTGTAGTCTGCTTATAGTCTATTTATGCAAGTACTGAGAGATTTTCACTTGTGTGGCATTGTTTCTGTTTGTCTGTTTCTTTGGTTCAGCTATTGAATGTAATTCAACTTTTTATGTACATGTCTTTGTTTTTTAAGCAGTACTTTGTAAATGTGGACATGGTAAACCAAGTCTTCGTTCTGAAGTACGGTCCAGCTGACACCTCTCTTTTATAACAGGAGCACTCCAGCTGGCCGACGGACATTATCATGACCCTGCAGGACATTGGCAGAAAAGACATAAAACGATTGGATGAGACAGAGCAGAATTATGCTCTTTGGTTTTTATCTACATCCACTTTCCTTAGTTTTTTTTTCCTCTTTATGCAAATGGTGAACAGTTGACCCACATTCAAAAGAGGTGTCACTCTATAATCGATGATGAACAGCGGTATGTTGGGAAAGAAATGCACTGTAAAAAAAAATGTTGCTGAGTTGCCTAAAATGTGCTTCATTTGTTAACATCTAAATTTACTGGTTTAATTCAGGTCAACATTTTCATATTTAACAGAACTGAATCAACCTGACTACATTAGGTTACTCCAATGAAAGCAAGTGGGTCAAATCAGGAGGAAATGCGTCTATGAAATAACAACTGCACGTTTTCCTGCTTTTTACAGTGTTTACAGTTTACAGTTTTACAGTATTTTGGCTCAGTGAGAAGGAATGGTACATTTAATAGATAGCCCACCTCTACAGACAGCATTCCCAAGCTTTGCAAAATCATGCGCTTCCTCGGACTCAGGTGTTACATGACAGAACTGATGTGTTCCCTTCCATAGGTAATGATGTTACTCTTTCTTGCTGCGGTTTTCCTCTTAAGAACAAAACTTTATTTTCTACAAAACTGGTGACTCCTATCTCAGTGACTGTACTACTTTGTTACCCGAAGGATCATGGAAAACAGTTCGCTGGGTCAGATAGCGACGAGAACTTCAGCGAAGACGTGTTTGTTGTTTCAGGGACTCTAAAAACCAAGTGACGGATTCTGCTCTGGAAGAGATTGTGACTGAAAACCTAACAAAAAGATGTCAATTCTACAGAGATCTGAGACCTCTGGGTTTATTTCTTTGCTTTAGTCCATATGAGACATTACTTGTTTACAAGTCCTGGTTTTTTCGACCCTGCTGTGAGGTATATGTCAGCTTTTGCACTGTATTCTTTGGCTTGTTGTCTTCCCTCTACTCTGTTTCCTCTCAAACAGCCCATTAACCTGAGCACCAAAGTCATTCGCCGTCTTCCTCGACCCAAAGCAGAGAACCAATGCAAACTGTAGTCTGCTTATAGTCTATTGTCAGAACTACAATGAAACTCAAGCGCATGTATCTGCCACTTGTTCCTCCATCCGAAACGTCCTTCAAATCTACACTGGTCGCCTGCTCTAGATGTTAGGGCAGGTGTAGGACCAGCTATGCAGCTCACCTGTGTCTGCACAGTTCCCTTGACCTTCATTCAAACACAGTCAAGCCAATGGAAACGACAAACCTATCTTGGCAATTGCTTTTCCCAACACAAAAAAGGAAAAAAACGAACTCCTGCCAACATGATTTTCCTCATCGTCATTGCCAGATCCCCGAAGCACAACAGTTTGAATGGAAGTCATGTTAGTTGTCTCAGTGATAGTTACCCTCCATGTAGTGTGTGTGTGTGTGTGTCTGTGTGTGTGTGAGAGAGAGTGAGTGTGTATGCATTTGAGCTTGTATGTACATGTGTGTGCTTCCAGCCCCTTTGTTTTCTACTAAAAATATACAAAAGCTACTTCCTCTGTCATCTCAATATAAAATGTATTATATTAAAGGTTCTCTTCATGTACAACACAAGCGCTACGCAACAAATCTATCATTTGGGTTTTTCTTTTGTTTTCATTTTCTCTCATTCTTTTTAAAATTGTTCCAAATACATAAGCGTGAAAAAAAATAACACTAAAGAAAAAAAAAAAGAAACCAATATAAAGTATTCTATTTAAAATGAAATGACGAAACTTCTGCTGTCCTGGATCTGTACTCTAAATTTCCGTTTTCTTTCTGTATGCATCCAATGTGCTTCAAACAACCAGTACTGTTTATTAATGAAATCATTATATTATTATGATTATGATTATTATTATTACTATCATGATTAATATGGTTATAAATAAATATTCCTTTCTTCAATAACAGAGACTCAATTCTCTGAGCTTGGCATATTTATGTGGCATCTGAATTATGAGGGCATTTACTCTACATGTACACTAAACATGCTTTATATAACATAGTAGAATATACACTGTATGTTTATCATTGGAATACTCTATTCTGATTGGTTAAACATGTTATCTTGTTTTATCAGATATAGGATGGTTTAATAGCACATACTGTGTAATTAGTCTCTATGGCATGTTTTTCGAAAGAAGCCTAATGTAATTGAATTAGTAGGCAACATAAAACATTCATAAATTATAGAGAATGTCAAACCACACATAAATCCATGACATGCA